AATTTTCATCTTTTACTCACCTTCTTAGACTCATTTCGATGAGAGAAGTCTTTCAGAGTCTGTGTTAGAGAGCGAGTGAGAAAATTGTCTATTGAGTTGTTGGGGTAGTTGACGTTGTCGTCGACGAACTAATTAGTTGAGAGCAGACTGGACAAATTGAAGAGATGAATGCACACGGGAATGGATGGATGGATGGAAATGTGTGGGGGAGTAAGCTGGTGAGTAACACGATTGACTGAGATTGGTATTGACGGAATATGGTCGAGTGCAAAATTAGTATTGCACAACAATAATTGTGATTTGACGGTTCTCGAAACGAGACGACAAGTTGATGAAAGGAGAGGATATAATGTGATCGGATAGGTGTCGCAGAATGGGAAACGGCAACTAGGCAAACAACTGGTTAGTGGAATTATTATTTGATTGATTCGATAGCACTCTCTCGATCAGCGTAACATCATCATGCTGAGAGCCCAAAACGTTCATGATACATCCTATATGGCATTCGATAATGATGACGGTGCTTGTGACTTATTTCCACGATGATCCTATTGATGTTCGAGGCGTGGTCTCACTCAAATTCTTCATCAGAAAACGACATATTAACGTCACTTTCAACGAAAACTTTTATGACTCATTTATTAATGGCTTTTTTTTATAATACCTTTGCCGACATCTCTTTTATCAGTATTATTATTGGTATAATTCATAGCATTATGCATCGGTGTTACTATTGGTTTAAGTTTTGCATCGGTATTATTATCAATATGAGTACCGCAATTGTTCTATCACTGGTTCTTGTTCTATCACTCAATATTTCACAACTCCATCAAAATTGGTTCGTTGAGAACTGGGCGATTTATCTCATGAAATTGTAGATTACGAAATAGCTAATGAAATCAATATAATATGAGTTTTTTCTTTAGAGATGAATTGTTCATTTGAGCTGATTAACTAAATTTGGTGATACCATTCAGACAGTGATAAGATTCTGTATCGATTTGAATG